CAACCTCACCCTCAGTTTGAGCTAACTTAGTCAGGGGAAGTTCCACCTGTACTGCTATGCCACTATCGGAACGCGAGCGCGGAATACGGGCGGCTTCGCTAGTACTAGACCCTGAGGTGGACACCCTACGCGTATCCTTACGCGAAACCTTGCTTACCTCCTGCTGATCTCGCTGACTCGTCGAGCGAAGATGTTGCGCAGTGGCGGCCCGCGGGATGTTGCGACGTAGCGGCTCCGTGGGACTTATGCTTCCCTGTGTAATAATTAGCTTACGAAAAACAAGATGAGAAAAAGAAAAAGAGAAAGATGCAGCAACAGACGCGAAGCGAACAGGCAAGGACTAAGCGATAAAAAGCCTAGCGACTACTAAAGAGTACTAAACCCGCCCCACCTAAGCTGGTGTCGCTGTAAAGTTGCGTTGTATTGAGCTGCAAAACAAAGAGTAGCTGCGTAAAAACTGCTGGAATAATAGTAATCCTGGAAAGTGATGAGTACGTGGTGCAGCGTAATGATTGAACGACTGCTCTGTGGAAACCGCGTCAGCAAAAAGACAGAAAATCAACTCGATGAGGTTACAGTGATTATTCCATCATGTCGTTGCGTGGAGACGCGCACAGGTCCGCGTATTCAAATAACGGCAGTCGAATATTCGCTCCCTGGGAGCTGGCTGTGACAAAGCTCGTAGGCCGCGGTAGCTGTTCGAGCTCGGGGTCCAGCTGCACTACTACTAGGTAGCGTATGCGGAAAATTGCTGGGCGAGGCTCTAAGTCGAAACGCACGCCTCTCGCCAACAGGCCTATGTCGACAGGTTCCGGCTCCTGGTCGAACGGATCGACCAAATGTGGATGATTAGGCTGATTAAACCGCCTGCGAAGGCCCTGCTGGCCCCGACCACCTTGATGATGATAACCTCGGTGGCGCACACCGAGAGGGTTACGACCCGCGCGTCCTCTGAATGGCCTTCTGTAATCTTCGTCGTAACGGTCCACTGCAGAAGCGGATTGAGGCTAGTAAAAGCAAACGAATTGGTGTGACTCCGTAGGATTCGGCCAGAGGTACGCGAAATGCTCGTTAAGCACAGAAGAGCTCGAACCTGCTGTTTAGGTGAGCTGAATATATAGTATAAAAAAAAATGTTAGGCTGGGCTGACCAAGCCTAGATGGTAAAACGAGTAGATCGTATAAAGTATTCGGGATCGAGTGTTCGACAGACGGCTGTGCGTAACACAGTATCGATTGTAAAAGTGACCGAATACACAAGCAAATCGACCCAGTAGAAAATGGCCCGAAATTGCTGAATGGTAGGGCAGCTGTGCGTAACACTGCTGACCGGCTGCGGCTGGTGTGACCTAGCCTGCCTAACCTACCAAAAAGGGTGCTGGGAAAAGCAACCCGAATATCCCCTAGGCGACAGAACACCTAAGGTAAACCCAAAACCGAACTTACTTGGTCTTCTAGCCTGATTTAGGCTTTACGGCTATGGAATGCAGGGTGGCTTGGCGAAGTCCTGCAGGTAGCTTGAATGCTGACTAGACGGCACACGAACGGGCAAGTCGTAATACGCAGCAAATAGCAACCCGCGAAAGGGGCCAAGATTCCCTCCAGGCAATCAATCAACAGCGATAGGGGTTTACCTTACCGACTGAGTCTGCCCGGCGTGAAGGATATGGGCGTTGATTGGCCCACACAGGAGTTCGGCTGGTGAAAGGAAGTTACTTATGCGGTTTACGAGAAGGGAGGACCGCACAGGGCTTGTTGTCTAGCTCAGAGAACTTTACAATGTTCCAATCATGAACGATCTGATTAGGTAGTTCTGCTTAGAGCCGTAAAGCGACTTTTCCAAGCTCGCTGCCGGCTATAATACCGAAGTCACATTGTCGATCACAGGAGCCCTCAAAAGATA